CAATGTGTACACACAGATGCCACCTCTTCCCCACTTACAGTCATTTTTCTCTTGTGTTTGCAGTGAGAGTGTAAGAAAAGTAAAAAGGCTAGCCTGCTAACCAGCACTGCAGCTTGTCTTCATCTTAAACAGTAAAAAAAAAAAAATTAAAATCAAGCTTTCAGTAAATTTTGTAATAACACAGTCATGTTTCAGATACTACAGAAAAAGCAAATGTCGTAGTACTTAATTTTGAGAAAATCTGTTTTGTATTGGTATTTATTTATTTATTTATTTATTTATTTTCTTAATATATTTTCTGCAAAGCAGATAGATTCTGTTGACCATCAGAGTCAGCCTCCATCATTTCGGAATGCCTGCTTTTCATGATCCAACCACATCCTGAAGAATAATATCACCTCCCACCCACAATTATTTCCCACCCGAATATCCCGTTTCACTCAGAAATGTGTCACGTTAAGAAAGAAAAATGCTTCCTGATTTCTCATTCAAGCTTAACTGAGTTAGCTCTGCCAGTGGCTGAGCGGCATATCAATTTGTATACTCTACATGGGCTTAGAGTGAATTCAAAATTCTGCATTATTTAAAAGAACAGGCACGTAAGCCACGCTGTCTGCAGTCTATGGTTAAAAGTAGTGGTAACGTTAGCATCGTTACCCAGATCATTACTCCTCTTTTTGTTTGGGAGTTTGTATGGATCCACACTAAGAATAAAGCTCATTTTATCATTATATTTTTGTTTTGGCATCCTTCTGAGTTGGTTAAGATACACTTCTTTTTCAGTCAGTTCAGTTTTAAGTATAAAGAAACACAATAAAACAGCACTCTCTAAACTGTCATAGTGTCTGTGAATACGTGCAGCATGTAAACAAAAAACAAACCATTGGTAGTGTGATGTGATATCTATTCCAAAGTTCTATCCATCTTATTTTTCATGACCCCTGTATCTGGATTTTGTGCTTGAGACCATAGCTGAAATATCTGATTGGGGAACAGAAGTGTTTTGTTAAAGCACAGAAAAAGGTCTTACTTGTTATCATTTTATGAGCCATTAAATGTCTCTAAGGCATTTCTGGGAGATCATGCAGTTTGAGGCTTACAGCCAAGTGACTCAAACTAAGAACTAAGAACCAGGAATCTTATGAGCATAAACTTCTCAAGAAACCGCAGAGCTTCACATGAACATGAACGTAGCTTCATAATCACTGCTTGAAAAAGGCCAGTTGTTTGCCAGTTGAGCATCCCTGGTTGCTACTTAGACTCTCTTTAGCTGGTTTACACTTTACATTCTCTTTAACTGAATGTTCTGCCCTGAGAGTGGGCTGAGCAAGTTGGCAGAAAGCTAACAGACTGATGCTCTGATAATAAAAGACAAAACTTTAAGTTCACAGAGTTACTTAAAAACTAAGGCATACAAAGTAAAGGTTTAAAGGTCTTTGTTTAAACTAAACCTCACTTTAAAATCCAGTAATGCTGAGCTAACCTTGCTAGCTTGGTGCTAGCATACCATACGACAAACATGATCTTAAAACATTGTACATGAAACATTGCTATGTGATGGCATTGCTTTATGGTTATGTTGATACTTGAGAGTGTGAATAAAAGTTGAAATTACATGACTTCATTAGCATAAAGAATTGGTACAGGCTATAAATGCAATCCTCTGACTAAAGTGTTTCTTTCCTGCAAGTTCAAGTTCAGGTTTCTTGGCAGATCAAATAATAAACATCGGTCCGAGAGCTTTTAAGCATTCAAATAATAAAGATAATTTACATTTTTATTTCTATTGTGTTGGAATGTGTGTTGTCAGGGACTATTTTGTTAACTATGCATTAACTGTACACTGACAATAATATGTGGCTTTTGGGGAGCATCCTGTGGGGCAAGAACAAATGTTATGATGTGCTACTGAAGGCACTCTACCGATTTTCTGTATAACCCTATATTAGATACAGGAATGATTGCATCTGAATAACCTCACATGGTGTCAGAAGAGGAGAGTTGGTGAAATTTGACCCTGCGGAGAGCTTTGACTTAGCCACCTCGAACGATGGTCAGAATCACTACCAAGCTCAACAAAGAAGAGAATGACAAGCTGATGTGAACCTTGCTTTATTCACCCAGAAGGGAAGCAGAGCAGGTTTATAAAACCTTTACATTCGAAAGAGAGGAGGAAAATTGTGACAATTCTCATGAAATTGGACAACTACTTTGTGCCCAAGTGAACGTAGACAAGACACTTCATCCAAGAATGCAAAAGCATGGTGAACGTGCAGAAGAGTATATACGTTGACGTAATCAGCTGGCAGATACTTGTGACTTTGGCACAGCAAAAATGAAAATATACGTAACAGATTGGTGATTGGGATTTCAGAAATGCTCCAATTATTGCCCAATTTGACCCTCACAAAAGCCATGGAATTCATGAGACAGTCTGAACAAGTTAAAGGACACATGAGTGAGCAAGCTACAAGTGCCAATGCACAGTGAAATATCTCACCGAGGAGGACCTGTAAAAGGAGGACCCAACTGTGGCTGCAGCAGACAAAACTGGAATTGAAAACAGCAACAAGATGAGCATCCCATTGAAGTGAAATGTAAAAGTTGTGACAGAAACCATGGTAGAGATGATGTCTGCACCGCTAAAAATGCTTACTGCTGTAAATGTAAGAAAAGGGGCTACTTTGCAGTGGTCCGTGCACTGTTGCAATAAGTGACGTTAGTGCACTTCGAGAGGGAGTCATTACCAAACACTTCCTGGTGGAACTGAAGCATGCTGTAAGTACAAACAGTGCATGGACTGTTAAGCTCCTGACATCGGATTTGAAATTGATACCAGAGCTGATATAAGTGTCATCTTTCAACATTGAGAGCCCAGGGGGTAAGCTGAGTTGTAAAGGACAATTTACAGCTGTCACTAGTATAAAACACAGACCTTTCAGATTCAAAGTCTTTGTAGTACAGAGATCAATAATTCTTGGCCGTGAGGCAACTATACTGATGGATTTGGTAAAGAGATTGGAAGGACTCGAATCCTCTGACACCAGAGAAGTTGGACTGCTGAAAATAAAGCCTGTGGAAATTTGCCTTAAGAGTGATATTGTCTCGTAAACTGTGACAACTGCTAGACGTGTGTCTGTGCCCATGCTTTCTAATGTTAAGCTGGAACTGGAGAGGATGGTCCAGTGTGGCGTCATAGGAAGAGATTAAGGAGTCCACAGAATGGTGTGTGCCTATGGTGGCGGTTCCTAAAAAGTCCGATAAGAAACTGGGTGGACCTTAAACAGCTGAACAAAGCTATCAAAAGGGAAAAATATGCTTTAACCACCAGCTGAGGCTCTCCTAACATCCTTTTCATGGACAACAGATCCCAATTTTCTGGCAGAGCTTTTGAACAGTTTGCACCTGACTGTGACTTTCATCATGTGCTCAAATCCACACCATCCACAGTCCAATGGTAAAGCAGAGAGGATTGTGCGTACAGCTAAGAGGAAAATGCCGAAATCCGTTCACCTTGATGAGCTACAGAGCAAGCCCTCTGGAAGCCACTGGAGCTAGCCCAGCACAGCTGATGCTCGGTAGACAGATCAGGACACCAGTCCCAACACTGGAGTCAAACCTACAACCATCATGGCCAAATCTGCCACAAGTGAAAGAAACTGATGAAAATGCCCATCAGCGCTACAGACAAAACTTCAACAAACAATAAAACAGCAAGGCCTTACCAGAACTCAAACATGGAACCTGTCAGTGAAATTGGATGAGGAAAAGGGAAGAGGAAAACAAGAAGTGTGCTCAGTAAGTGTGAGACACCATGATCATACAAACAGACAAGGGAGTACTGAGGCACAACCACTGACACCTAATGCCCAAAGTCAGCACTGCAGATTCAGCACCTGAGCTACTACTCCAAACAGCAACTAAAGACGATGAACAACCCAAAGAAGAAATGCAACCTGAGTCAACCTCCCACAAAGAGTCAGCAACTGCAGAGCCAATACCTTGCAGACAACAAGTTTTGGCCACACAGTAAGATCACATGATAGGTACATAGAACTGATGTAGAACTGATGCATTGAACTGAAAGAAAAGGGAATGTTTGTTCACAAAAAAAAAACAAAAGAGAGGTCCACTTACCTCTACTAGACAGTGGGTTAGTGGGAAGTAATATGTGGCTTGTAGGGAGTGTCCTGTGTCAAGAGAACTTTATACTGTGCTACTGAAGTCAATCTACTGATTTCCTGTATATCCCTGCAAAGTGGAGGGTATTAAACTGTGATAACCATTATCTGGAATTAAAGCATCTGAATAACATTCTCTGAATAGGATGTTATTAGCATTTAAGTAATCTGGTCTGATTACACTTGGCAGGAAGTTTTGTCTTTAAGCCACCCAAAGCATCATGTCGCATAGGAATAAGATGTATAGCTTAGAAAAAGAGCTTATTTTTTGGTTTACTGAATGATGAACGATGAATTTTGTCAGGAATGTAGAAATATGCTAAAGGAAATGCATTTTTCAAGTGTGTAAACGCAGCTGATAGCTAGGCTATGCTAAGTCACATCAAGTTAGATTGCATATCTGTCCAACAGTTAATATGCTCGGTGCTCAAATGTTGTCTGTAAACATTATTTGATTTATGAGCAGCAGTGCATTTTTATACTGCTCTGATGGTCCATAAAGACATTCTTGTTGCGATAAAACACAGAAATGTATACTGATAAAGAAGTTTGTAGACAAGCTCTGGTTTAAAACTGCCTTTGCACATTTGGACCACACGATTGGTTTTATTGACTTTACTGTACTTGAACTGTGCACTGTGTGACTGTATTATCAACAACTTTGCAAATACCGGATCAGATTCTGTATGTTAATATTAATATTGGGGGACACTACAGTTTACTAACATCTTGATCCAGGTTTCTGTTTATGTTCTTTCATGTCAGTTGTCTGAGGCAGGAATTCTAACAAATCTATTGTGTTTGTGTCTTTCTGCACAGACTGGTCCATGGATGTGGTGGAGCTATGTAAAAAGTATCGGAATGATGGTGTGGTGGCCATAGATTTAGCAGGAGATGAGTCTCTAAACTGCAACACATATCCAGGACACTTGATAGCATATGAGGTACGAACTTCCCTTTTTTCCACTATTTGCAATAAGCATGGTACCTGTTGTCAAGGAGCACTCCGGCCAAAACGAAACACTGAACCATCTCAGTGCCTGTTGTAAGCATGCCCAGTGCTACAGTAGTTTTAAGAGCAATATTTTCCAGTTTAAAGACAACTCAAATCCCCCTTTGGATGATGTCTTGAAGTGGAAAGGAACTTCTGAGAAACTACCACTGCTTTGAGGTGGATTTTTTTTTTACAGTAGAGAGAATGGATTACTTAAATGACAGAAATGAGAAGGGCATGAAGCTAAAGTTAGCAAGAAAGCTGTCTGGTTATGTAGAACTCTTACCTCAGTTTGGCTTATTTTCCTTGGAAAAGAGCGTAAAAACATATCTCTGGCATCCATTTCGTGCTGAATAAAGATGGAATCAGTTTTTAATTTTATGATCTACTTAGTTGGACCTGCCCATGATACAGCTTTCAAATCTGTCTAGTAGTCTGATTGAAGTGCTGCCATTCCTACCTTTTTTTTCGCTGTGTTAATCGAATTTCCATTAGACACTAACTATTTTTGGAAAAGTTCTATGCATAGTTTTTCACAGATTTTAGCAAATGAGTTAGCATAGTTGAGATATTAGCACGGTTATATGATCCTTGCGTTGAGTAGTGTGTTTACACTTCCATAGTTCAGTCTTCTTTTCAGTTGTGAGAGCTGCACAGTGGAGATTTTTAAATTCATTTTTGGATTTTGATTGTCACTATTAGGAATATCATGGATTGTGTAGCATGAAACTTAACTGTATTCAATTCACCATTCATATCTTGCAATCACCATATCGAAAACAACACCAATATTAACAGGCGTATCATGAGAACCCTAATAGACAATCAATCTGGTTCATTCTTCAGTTGAATTGCCTCTGTGCTTGGTTGTATTCATTTGCCCATAGCTCAGTTCACAGGGATTCCCAATGGTTGTATGGTGTAATTGCATAATGCATGCTGGGTGTTGTAGGGAGGGAACATTGAGCCTCATTCATCAGACATTCTTAAGAAGAATTTTTTTTCTTAAAAGCCACTTAAGCAGTTCTCACAAAGATTCTGACATTCACCAATGTTTTCTTATTTGGGATTTGTTCTTAGGTAAGAACAGAATCCACACACAGCCAAGAGGTGCAAACAGTTCTGCAGGTTAAGAACACGTCATGAATCTGACGTAGACTTTTTCTTACGACCTTTCTCAAGAAAAAAATTATGAGGCCCACTGAGCTAAAACATGTACCAAAAAAGTGTTTTGAATTCTGTCAAACATGAGGCTGAGGGATACAACACTGAACTCCAGAATGCTGCATAACACAACACATAACATATTAAATGATAGTTATATATCAGAAAACCCTTTTCAGTATCAAGCCTAACCCTGGAATAGTCCTGGATTTGCTTTGTAAACGGTGGACTTCCCTGGAAATTGGTTCATGGGTGAGGACCCTTAACATTCTTCACATTTGACAACCCTAGCTAGTTGTGTTATTAATTGGAGATAAGCCAGAAGAGATAAGAATTAATCTTATTTAAGCCTATTATAAAAGGACTGTAGGGGAATTTGCTGACTTTTATCAGCTCAGGAAAACATAACATGATTATTACATTCCTTATCTGTGGACTCACTGATCCATTCAAGGTCTCCTCTGAGACTGCACAGTCATTCTTACATGCTATCAGGACACATGCAGTTGCTGTTTTTAGAACCACAGCGTTTGTGATCGTCTGATAATTTTGCTTTATTATGGCATTAATGAATTCAAAAGAAGGTTTTGTGTTGGTGTTTTAGTTTTAGTTCATAGGGAACAACAACAGGGTTCTTCTATGCAAGCACTTGTCAAGCACTTGTCTCTACTCCATGCATTCAGCAGTACAGCATGATTCACCGCTCTAAATGCCAGTGGTGCAGGCTTTATACTCATCACTCAAAGCAGTTGTTTGTTGAAAAATCAAATACACATCATTTTCCCCTTACCTCAAATTTAGTCGATAAGCTAAGACATGATTTGGTGTCTCAAGTTTGCTTCTTTAGTTTTACACTAGAGCTTTGAAGCAAATGCAGCTAGCCAAAGTAGGAAGCTTATTATATCAGCCAATTAGCATTGTGCAAAATTCTTAAATAATTTGTCATACGTTTTCTTCAAAATGCACCAAGCCAGTAAATAAGGATATACTGTAATCTTTAGAAACAGACAAAAGTACTTATCAAAAAACAGTATTAGCAGCCATCATGAGGCCTGAGTGTCTGTACTTGTCTTTTTTTATGGAAAAATGTACGTCAGAGACCACAGTATTTCAGAAACCACATAAGCCACACAGGTTTTTTTGAGAGTGCTTAATAACTCAACATGTTCATGAGAGGAATGCTGCTTGCAAAATACAGGGTGTCCCAAAAAAAATGACATCATTTGAGATGTGAATATCTGAGTAACTCCATGTCCTAGGCAAACGCAATTAAATAGGCTTCATGTTGAACAATACAAGATTTATCAAAATTCGAACAAGAAATTTAGAGGGACGTAGATTTTATAACCAGTTTCACAAAGCTTCATAAATGTAATATCTTCCAAACCTGGTGGTCGTCCAGATCCCTTTGCCTTGCACAGACGGCACAGTGTTTGTATAAATTCAGAAAAAAGACATGCCAGTCACAACTGCATATGTGTACATATTTCTATATTGTGGTCTATTTACACTAAGTTAGGTTAGAGTCAGGAGTTTCTTCATCATTTATGTAGGAATAGGCACTCCCAAAATTTTACGCTGCTTCACTGACTTTGAACTGTATGCCTGCACAGGGTTGGTATGTCCAACAGGTCAAAACAAGCTCAAAACAAAGTGCGTGCTGTGCCCTGATTGGTGTTCTTGCTTCACGTTTCTTTCGTTTTCATGTTACATTTTATACACATAAGCCAAAAGGAACAACAGATTTTGCATAATATAGTGGAGTAAAAAGTCAGATATTTGACTTTGAAATGTAGTGGAGTGAAAGTAAAAAGTCACCCAAAATGGAAATACTTCAGTAAAGTACGGATACACGAAAAAACGACTTGAGTACAGTAACGAATTACATTTACTTCTTTACTGTCCACCACTGAAATTAGATTTTTGGCCGAGTAGCTTTAATGTTTGTGATGCAACGAAAAGAAAATTCTTGGCTGAAACCGAAGCCAAAACTCAGCACACTCTTGGCAAAGAATGATGATAAATAAAATAATGCCATTTTAGATGGAACAGGAAATTCAAATAAGAAGTTGGAGAATAGGTTCACTTCAGTCTTGTTATTTTTAGTTATACTTTGCACTGTGGCTGTCGTTGGTGTTGGTGGGCTAACGGGGACTTTTTATGCTTCTGTTGTTTTGGTGTATTCGGTGTATCGAGCAGGATGTCTTGTTTTCAAGTGCTATGAAACCTGTAGTGAAGTGTTTGGGTGTGGTAACTCCTGTTGATACTCGATATTAGCAAAGATTATAAATCAGTTGTCTAATGTCCGTAATAGAAACTGTAAAATAATTCCAGATGGCTGATATTTTCACTGTTCATCTGCTGCCAGAAGGAACAACCAGTGTTTTTAATCACTGTTTCTTGTTTTCAGTACTACTACACTTATAAATCGTAGGTTTTGACATGTTGTTGTAGGCCTGTTTCACGTTTATTTTTGGTCAAAATGTTTGGCGGGTTTTTCTCCTTTGGCAAAAAAAAAGTAGAATTTTTGACCGTTTTTGGTCAAAAAGTTTCAGTGCCTCCCCATTTAATGTTGCACACCAAGCAAGTTGATGAACTTTGTGATAGAGAGAGACCTACTACACTGTGCACTGCTAAGTCAGGAAAGGAGTTCAAAAAGTGGAGGAGGAAATGAAGGAGATCTCAGGGGAGCACATCTCGGAGCTGTAGCAGCATCTTTAGGAAAGTCGTTTAGATCACTCCAACAGGGTGACATCTGTTTATGCCATTAGTGTGAGGAGAGCCAGGCCACTGCAAACAAACATGTTCTTCCTTTATCATTTCACAATCTCGGGTGAAGACCAGGAACACTGCAGCACCCTTTATTTAACCTATTAAACCCCACGGAAATGCCGGCGGCTCCGGCTTCCTCACTCCCTTAACTTAGGAATAACTCTTAAGAAAAAAAAAACATACAAAACATCTATTTATATAATAACATGTGCAGGCATATTGAGTGACAAAATGTGGTGTTTAACTGTGTTTATTTATTTAACATTGTGCTTCTTATTCAAGTATTAAGTTTTTCCGACTTATCTTTCAATAACTACCACATTACTCAGTGACTCCTATGAGAGCAGTATGTGCGTTATGTAGTTATGCGAGTAAGGAACTGAAATGTGGGTCCGCGTACAGAGCCTTAGAGTTTCATGGGTTAACTTCCACATACACTTGTATTTAATGTTTGTTGTTTTGTTTTTCCATGTACTTCTATTAATGTAAAAGCCCAAGACAAAAGTTGATATCAGCTCATATTCAGACACAGCAGAGTCAAAATGGAGCTCTGTTAATGATCTCTTGTTGTGTGCGAATAAGTGTCTAACTCATTATGCTGTTGACAGGAAGCATTGCGAAGCGGCATCCACAGAACCGTCCACGCAGGAGAGGTGGGTCCTCCTTCCGTGGTGAGAGAGGTGAGTGTTTGTTCATCTCTGGAACAGTAATTAAGAGAAACTGCCCCAGATCTTAGCTACACCCACTGTGTAGATGAGAACATCATTATCTGGATGTGGAAGATCAGCAAAAAACACTGCAGAGTGTTTTTACAGCTTAAGTACACAGTCTTATGCTGTTTACAAGGACAGATCACCTGCTAATTTTCTCGCAGTTTTTCGCCCAACCTATGCCTGCCCAATAGTGCAGGATTTTTAAAATCCTAACCAATGTTTAAAGCATGAGATTCCCCACACATAAGCACAGATTCGATTGATTTTTGTCCGTTCTCGTCCCCCACACTACTATACTGAAATTTGCCCAGAACAACACACCACACAGTTTCACATTAGGTTGATCGATCATCAATTCATATCTCAGAACTTGAGATCTTGCAGAAATTCTTATGACTTTAACAAACATGACTTTAGATCTAGACAAACATGGTAGATGACAGCAATTAACAGATTACTGTGGTAGTTATGTGTGAATTTAGCAGTGTAAAAGAGAAAGAAAATATCTTTTACTGCTTTCCCAATGTGAATTATAATAAAATGACTTTTATCCTTCCATTCAGTTCCCTGTTCAGCGTGGCTCTCACTGGTTAACCCACACGATTTCATGTCATGCTCACAAATCGAAGACCCAGTCAACAGTACTGTCTCTCAGGCAGAAATTGTTGTGAACAAACGTGACTTTAGATCACAATTAACTTGGCAGTTGACATCAAGGCACAGATTACTCTGCTAGTTATGTGTGAATTTAGCAGCATAAAGTGAAAAAAAAAGTTTTATTTGTTTTCATGTTTTATGTTTTTATGTGCAGATTAGGGTAAAATTATTTTTATCTTTTATCTCCCTCGTTCAGCTCGGCTGACTAAGGCTTCTTTAAGGATCTTTCAAGTATGATGTTATCATTTGTGTTTCATATGAGAGAATCTATGTCCTACATTTTAGTCCCCCAAGGTACAAACATTGTAAATGGACCGTTAAAAGTACAAAACTGCCCAGTTGTGTATGGTAAAAAAGCTTTAAACGTAGATTAAATTTAAAAGGGCATATTTTTACCTTTTTTTAAATAAAATAAAATGAGATATAATTATGCTCCCTACCTAAAGGTACTGAAAATGTACCGAGCATAAAACCCCAGTGACAGGTCATCACCTTTTGTCTGAGAGTGTACCCCACACCACATGGCCTATTTTTTACAGATATTTTATGTAGCAGAAATTAAATGGTTCATTTTGCATACTTAACAGTTACCATTACCAGAAATTCACCATTTGTGCAGTGTGATCTTCCTTTGGTGTCAGTTTCTCTGTCCTGGCTCCACCCTCTTGTCTCTCTGCCCCTGTCTCCTGTTTACCATAGCTCCGCCCTCTCTCGTTACCCTGTTCACCTGTGTCTTGTGGTTAGCACCTCTCGTTAATCTCTGTTTCCAGATGTCCCTTGTATATATAGCTGTCATGTTGTCTGGTCTTGAATGTCTACACATCTGCGTTTTCTTGTGTTTGTGTAAGTAGTCAGCCCATACATCTTCCTCTTTCGTGACATTCGGCCACGATGAAAAGGGTAACTGAAGTCACAACTCGGTCAGTTCACAATGTGTTGACAATTTCAATATACCCAGCTTCATCATCTGACTTTGAAGTTTATTCATGCGGTCTGTCTTTGTTGGAAACTTGTTTTTTCCTCCAAAAAACAAAACCACTTGAAAGGACTGTTAGATCAGTGGTTCTCAGCTGGTCTTGCCTAAAGACTTTTATTACTGTTAAAGGCCTTGTTACTAATTCCTTGTTTTATTGGTGACAACTCTGCTTTGCTGTTGCTCATACCTCTGATTTTTGAGGCTTATTTTAGACAAAGAGATCCCAGAAGAGTAGAATAGAGCCTAACAGACTTCAGTTTCTATGCTGATAGATGCTGGATATATTACTATGTTCCATCACTATTCTAAAAGTCAAGTAATAGTTCTTAAGTAGATTTTTGACCTGATACTGTTGTACTTCTGCTCACGTTGTTTTTGGGAAAGGTACCATTATTTTTTGGAGCCAGCATTTCACAGAATTAACATTACTGTTATTTAAATATCGGTTTTGGCTGATCTGCCCACCTCTATATATGGCACAATGCTTCTCATAGTAATATACAGTACTGCAGGGGTCACATGGCAACTGGGAGGCTGTGTCCTTGTTACGTCCTCCTGAAACCTGTGGGGTGCAGTATACTACAAAGACAGCATTGACTGCATACTGAAAAATTTGTCTGGCGTAGTATGTCAGAACTTGAGAAGCTCATGTTGGTCGAATGCTGCATGCAAAATGTAGAGGCTTTTTCAAACTTTCTTGTCTGTCCTTTAAATTCAAAGCGAGTCTGAATTGGAAATCACAATTCAGTTTCCTTCTGTAATGTGACATTTCATAATGAACCAAGGTTTCAGGGAGGGTCTCTGAGTGTTTTGCTCGATGACAGGTGGGGTGGTGAGAGGGGAGATGAAACATGATATTATTAGTTAATATCGTTTTCCCCACCTGCTGGTGCACGATGATGTAATCAAAAACTCAAGACATGTTTGAGGTGGGAAAAAGTCATTACACTTCGATCAAAGATTGTTGAATTATGCTTAATATGACAGATAATGATATATGACACTGCACATGACCTAAGAAGGTTAAAAAAAGATCCATTTTTAATTTCAGACTTTAATATAGTCGTTTTTCATTTCGAGGTCATGCTGAGAAAAGCCACCAAACAGCTGTTTTTGTGTATGTATGAATGTGTGATAATTAGTCTAAATTCATTTTCACTGCAAGCTGTGTTATTCTCTTAGGCTTACGATGACAGATCTCAGATGCAGACTGTAAGCGGTAAATGTCAAATGCGTTTCAAAATAAAAGTCTAAAGTTCTGTGATTTAAAAATAAAATTTATAATGATTGTTGAAAGGAGAAATAGAACACACCCATGACCCACTCCGTGCCTGTTTGGGTCGCAACCCACCAACTGAGAACCACTTAGATAACAGTCCACTGTAACAGGAACCAGTCTTAGAGGATTTTTTTTTCTGCATTCAGTTATGTTGGGTCATTCCTATCCACATTCACCAACTGTTTACCAGACGTTTCCCTCTAAAACATGCTTTTGACTTGTGTTTCTCCTACAGGCTGTGGAGGTCCTGAAAGCTGAGCGTATTGGACACGGCTACCACACAGTCAAAGACCCAGAACTGTACCAACAGCTGCTCAAAGAGAATATGCATTTTGAGGTAAGGTTTTTTTTTTGTTTTTTTTTTTAACACGTCCTTACCAGTTTGATCTAAAGGGCTTTGTTTCAACTCACCACTCGGAAGTGCATTGCACCTACATTACATAAGTGGCTTATCACAGCACAACATTTGTGAATAATTGCTTTGTCTAAGTTTAAGCTTTATAGAAGCTTGTAAAACCTTGATTTAGTGCCTTTCTTTTTGTTATTGCTAGCTTTTTGCTTGCTAACTAGCAGGCTAGCAGAGTAAAGTAATGAAGAGTGCAGCAGTCAGGTACAACAGAAGGAATAGTTGGCTACTTAAGACTCAGTTTGAACATAGCAAATCAAATGTTTTGAAATGTATTAAATATTTTTAAGTATTTTGATTGCTGTTTGTAAACTGTTTGAGGATCAAAAAATGAAAATTGCATCAGATCGCAATGATTTCTAAACCAGTTCTGCTGCAAAAGTCATCCTTCATTCCTCCAAGGGTGCACCTAACACCTTTCAATTGACCTAATAAAGTAATGGAACGGTCCTTAAGATGGCATTAGGCATTCCTCCTAGCCAAGTTGATGAGGCCTTGTTAAAATGAGTTTTAAAATGCACGGCTTGCTTTTAGGCAGTTGTACTTAATTACATGAATTACTGGCAGCAAACAGCACCTTCTTCATGTAAGGTACAAGCATTCCAAACATATAGTACATTTTTACAGGCCTTACATGGTGAAACTTTCATGCAACTAGTTGCATGTTGAGAGTTGACTACAGCATAATTTCCGTTGGCAGTGAGACTAAGCAATTCCAAAATGTACAACACTTTATATTACTCCCTTAAATAGCCAAATTAGCAGGTTGCAGTTTTTGATACACCATATCATTCTCTCTATAAAGTCGTCTGCAAGATGAGTTTACATATTTGCAGCATTTTTATCTTCTTATCATGTTTTGTCTCCAGCAGTTCTTTTTTCCCCATATCCATATATCTGTATTTTATATATCAGTCTAGGGATCTTTACTCTATATTTGAGTTTTTTTTTATATGTTTTGTTTAGGTAAAGCCTTTGAAAATAAATATTTAGGTAGGCATTACAGTTATAGCCTACTTGATGCCTCACCAGCTGCTTGTCCTGTCCTAGAAGCACAACACGTTCATCACGGACCACGTCTCACGCTTCCTTCCCTTCTCCAATGATTTTTATCGTTTGGATGCCAAATGAATCTGAGCTCTGTGTAAAATAGGGAGGAGCTAAAGAGGAATAAATGCTGGAACATGCAGCCATTTAAACAGCTGTTAGAGTAAACTGGCTAGTTAACACAGCCGGTTACAGAAACATTAGCTTCAAGAAACCCATGTTTCATTTTCTTGCCTGCTGATCCTGTGAAATCAATGGTTGGAAAGTATGTCATTCAACATGATCACATTTCATGAAACTTGTTCCATTAAGTTGCGAGGCTTGCAGCTGTTGTGACTTTCAAATGAGCTGCAGGACAATTTATTATGCAACTCAAATGCAATTTAATTGCAAGTAGGTTTCAAGCAACAACAGTTGCAAGAAAGTTTCACTGTGTAAAGCCAGCCTTACAGTTCTGTTTCACAACAAGCCTACACTTATGTAACATGTTGTCTGATCTTGATGAAAATACACTGATGAAAAGTGTCACAGCACTAGTCATTAATGACTCATCATCATAATCATAGATGAATCATATTACATGAATCATAATGTGAATGCATTACAGTGTGCTTACTGTACAGGCTTACTATATACTGTACTGTACACTGTAAATGAAGTGAAATGAATGCTAGTAAATTTAAATGCTGCCATTAATATTTGTCACAATATGCTAAGCATCCTCAGCAAACCACACTCAGAAAAAGCAGGGCTATCTGATCTGATGTCATACTGCCCTCTTGTGGTGAGCTGTCATCTAGTACTGGTAAATTGAATCGTGGGTGTGCTGTCCATTTTGCCGGATTGACATTTCAGAAATTAGACTGGATGACTGTCGCTGCAGATGTGCACTGTGGGGCTTAGGCTTACATTGCAGTGCTTTAGTGAGTGATCATGTGTGCCTGTGTGCTGTTTCAGATTTGTCCAATCTCCAGTAGACTGACAGGAGCTTGTGACCCAGACTTCACTAAGCACCCACTCATCAGGTAAATATATGGCTCACAGTGACTCTACACAGCCAGTACCTGCCTTAGAGCTACATACAACTAGTTTTGTAACAACTACCATGATATAGCATCGAACTGTTGACTTGTGTTCAATGGAAAATGCAGCCAGTAGAGCTCTGAGGTGGTGTCGTCATCCAGACGAGCCCTGGGGTCTCTGTTTTTGCTTATGGGAAAAATGAATGCACCCTGTAGTAAACAAAAATGTAGATGTCACTGGGTTCACTGAAACATGAAGCCATTAAGGATGTGAAAGACCAATACTGCTACATACTGTCACATGCAAAAGTTTGAAAGCTAAGCTAACAGTGATATGGCCATTATAGATTAAACACAGACATTTGAAGCCTCTAAGGGACATTGGATGCTTCATTTGAAGCTTGTGACAGACATATTAGCGTATATATTTTACCTTGTAGCAGTTTCATAGTGACTCTTTCAGTAGTGAGTTCTGGTATAGCGCTGCTGCCACTGTTTTCCTTTTTTAACAACTCATTGATTAAGCAGCTGCTTATATTCACAGTCAGTGATGTATCTAGAACAGTTTCCATTCAAAACCTAACAATGGAATAAGTAGTATTGTAGTACTTGCAGAGTTTAAATACATGCATGTTACTAGTGAATAAAAATGATCTAAAAATTACAGAGGTGCATTTTTTTTTGTTGTTGTTTCTCTAAAGGCCTAGAAGGTCCTGATGGTGTCCCTCTGCCTAACTTGTAGCATGTATGTAGAACTATTTGTATTTTGACTACATCATTCACAGAAGCCAGTGACATTTAGGGCAGAAATGTACATAGCACAAAAATGTATCGTGTTTTAAAACAGACTGCAATTTTCAAAAATGCCATTCATTTTTACTATAGATAGAAACAGCTCATGTCTGTTATGTGTACAATGCATAAATGGATAGTTCACTAGAGCATGGCTTCTATTATGGCGTTCAGTTTCCACAAACAAGCAAGCCAATTCCAGTGAAAGTCTGAGTGTCTGTTAGTTACAGCACTTCCAGCTGCAGCATAGCATTTCAAACTGGAAACTTAACTCTAAAAAAAGTGTGCTACAATTTCTCATTAGGTTGAAAGAGATTTTTGCCAACTTTTGTAAAGCTAATCGAACCAACAGCTACTACTAGGGAATGTGTGCATGGATAGATCTGTTATCTGTAAACGTACTGTCGGATGCCTAAGTTTGTCTTTTGTTGATTTTCTAAGTGAAAATAAGTTACACATCTTCTACAGGGAACACACTTCTGCACATTTTAATTCATAATTACTGTTATTCCATCACAGGGCAGACACACAGACATGCCCATTCATGCACACACACACACACTCGCACCTAGGGCCAATTTAGCATCTCCAGTTTGCCTGACTGCATGTCTTTGGAATGTGGGAGGAAACCCATGCAGACACAAAAAAGAAGGGAGACCCAGCCAGGGAATCGAACGCAGGCCCTTCTTGCTGTGAGGCGTCAGCGCTATCCACTGCGCCAGCGTGCAGCCCTGAATTCAACATATTGGAAAAAGATAAAAGAGAATGTGGACTGTGCAAAAGCTTTGCCACATTTTATAGTTGTCTTTGTTTAAATGTGTTCTCTGTAGAGGATGTGTTCGCTTACTTTCACTTAATTTGAACATTTAATTTGACCAGAGGTGACCTCAGATTGTTCATACAACAGCATGCAGTTACTAATACATGAAATGTGGATGATATCTGAGCTAAGAGTCTAATTTAGACTCCTTATATCTTAATGCCATTTATTGCCTTGGTTAGGTATACTGAAAGCACCCAGTGGACCACTCTCTTAACTTTTTGGCTACTGCTTTCTTGGTCTGTGCAGGTTCAAGGAGGACAAGGCAAATTTCTCTCTGAACACAGATGACCCAATGATCTTCAACTCCACCCTGAATTGTGATTACCATATTGTGGAGAAATACATGGGCTTTACAGAGGACGAGTTTGTTCAGCTGGTGAGACTCTTCTACAAATGTTTTCTCCTTTTTCAGACAGAATAAGCATTCTGTAGTACATCTGTCAGGAGTTTAGGTCTAAAATACTTTAGTGGCTGTTGCCAATCACTGTCTCAATGTGAAAATAATACTATTGGTTAGAAGTATTCACATCATGATGATAAAGTTGTTGATCGCCCAGACGTACAGGTTCAACGCAGTAGACAGTTCATGGGGTAAATAAAAAGTTTGACTGTATTTACAAAGACTTTTTGATATCCATCAAAAAATGCGTTCATATGCATGGCTGGTTTGTTGTGGGTGGGAATCGATGTAAGCGGTAAACTCGTGCAAATGTGAAAGCTTTTTTAAAGCTGGATTTTGCAGCTCTGGATATGAGCCGACAGCAGTCATGTCTCCTCAGTTTTGTTCAAAATCAATGTGACTGACTGACGCCCCACCCCGCACATATTCTTCTGTGTCTCCTATTGGCACGAGAACATCAGAGTACGTACCGTGAAAAGTTCAACTCAGGAGAACTTTTTCAATGGATAACACAGCGTAATTTTTGCACGTGGCCACACTTTGATACCTATTGTCCGTTAATGCTTTGCTCTTGATGAAATCACAGCCTTAGGCTGCGTTCATAAGGACCTTTTTGTATCCGTAAAAAAAACACACTTTGTGTCATTGAATTCAGTGAGATAATTTGTTGACAGCAGAAACCAACGCATGACATTGTGTAAAAATGATCCTTCGTTGTCTGTTAAAGTTCAAAAGTTGAACTTCTGATAGCTACTCTCAAGTATCGGTGTACCAGCCAACAGGATATGGTGTGGGGTGGGGCTTCAGTCTGTGCTGTAAAAAAAAAAAATTGCGGAAAAATGAATTGCTGTAATGAACTTGCTATAACTCCAACTCCTTACCTGCAGAGCCTAGTTCCAACCACAATTTGCCACACCTGCTTCAGCTAATCAACCTCGTCCCAAGTCCCTGATTGAATCGGAATGTATTAGAGTTAAGTAAGGTGCACGGCAGCTTATTGGATGCAGGTTGGAACTCAACTCTGCAGGAAGGTAGTTCTCCAGGACCAGGGTTGAGACCACGGCGTTATAAAATCCGGTTCTAGTAGAACAGCGACTGGTTTGGTTAAAACTCTCAACAGTCACCACTAGTTTCCCAATCATGTTTTCTTCCACCCATAAACACACCCAAAATAGACGTATTAATGGGTTTTTTGACTGATATCAAAATGTCTTGTAAACCATTGTTTTGAATAATAGTACACATGCAGGTTGACTTGTGCTAGCACTGTTCACTTTCATTCTGCATCATAGTGCGCCACTCAACATTTTGCCATTACAACATTAAATTAATGCTTCATTAAGACCACAGAAAGCCATAGTAGATGACATGGCTTGAAATTTACAGAAAGGCAGTCAGGTTTTTTTTTTTTTACGGACATGGGGAAAAATACAGTGACATGGGTTTTCTATAACAGGTAAAAAAAGAATCCTTCTGCCAGCGAAATGAGTTTTGTTATATTTTTTTTTCCAAATTAATTATGTCAGGATATTATCTCAAAATTATTTTCCCAAGAAATTTTCTAGACGTCTTCTTTTTTGACATGCAGGTTATTCTCTAAACAATTTGCATGCATCCACTTATAGCCATTTTGTTGTCCACAAAGCTGTAGCTGCTCTTGAATAAAAACCAATACCTCTGATATATTTATGTAACCCTTCCTCCAAAAACAGTCTGTTGCATTTTAAACCATGTCTCAAATGACAATCTGATATAATATAATGATGTCTGTTGGCGAGCACTGAAACAATGTTTTTGTATTTAAGACTATGTTCAAATAAAGTGCGGTCAGTTTGTAGCGGTTTATTAGAATAGTTCCAATCCTTGATACACAACCTGGGGAGATAATAGTGAGTCAGGCTGCTGCCAGAATGGTGTATTGGTGCCATCTACAGGGCAGGGTGGGTAATGCACTTATCCAGAGAAAATTATTTCGAAATAATCATCTTGAAATAATTAATTTTAGAAAAACAACCTAAGGTCATTTCTCAGGCAAAGGTTTTTTTTTTGTTTTGTTTTTTTTTGTTTTTTTAACCCATTATAGAAAAGCCCATGTAATTTTTTTTTCCCCATGTCCTTTTGGGGGAACCTCATATCTTTTAGCTCGACAACAGCGAGCTTGTGAAGAGGTAGAAAACTGAGACAAAACCTAATAAATTTATATAACCAGAGTGTAAAAATGAACCTGAACTTCTGGTTTATCAACACACTCACTGCGGCACATTGTAGTGGAGCAGCACTTTGTACTGTATCTCCTACATGATGCTGTGCAACTCTGCATGGCTCGGGGGGTCCAGTGTGTAGTGGCCTTTAGCCTTTAGTTACAGTGAGTCTTTAGCCTTCAGTTAAAGTAAGCCTAAAGTTAAAAATTGTTCCTTATCCCAGCATTATTTGTGACCTGAGTTTGACTATTTTGCAGAATCTGAATGCAGCAAAGTCCTGCTTCCTGCCCGAGAAGGAGAAAAAGGACCTCCTGAACCAGCTCTATGAAGCCTATGGCATGGTGAACAACACCAGCTTCTAGATGGAACTCACATACACAGCAGAGCCTTCCAGTAGCTGAGACAGAGCTAAGATAATGGGAAAGGCTCCTTGTTTCAAAGTTTACCCTACTTGAATACAACTTTTCATTTTCTGAACAATTTGTGAATCATAGACTGAAACGCGTGAGGGAATGAATTTCCAAATAATGGGTCGATATTGATGACCCAGCCCTTAATAGACATAACACAGGTATACCTATGAATGCCTTACTGTGGCATCTTCAGCATCTTGACTTAGAAGTAAGCAACATGGTTCCTATTGAATTAACCATTATCCTTCTGCCTTGTGACTGCAGTGCAGACACAGTTGCATTTCCAGGGAATACAGTATTGAAAAAATGAATTGTATTACAGTAAATCCAGTTATCACCGAGTAGTATTGTGCACATTAAGTAATGATACTTGGTGGACACTGGTTTTTAACTCATATTATCCGTAACAGTGCTTGGTTGAAGTATTTCTTTCAGCATAACATGCTGGGTATAATATTTTCCATATTGGTACAATACTGTGGTAGTTCACATTAGCTTACCATATAAGAGGCTGGAGATAAATGGTATTATATTTACACCAACTTACTGTGAATACCCAGGTTTAGAGCTCAGGCATCGTGACTGAGAATTGTACTAGCATTTATAGACACGATGTTTTGTATGTGTTTCTTAATTCGTTCATGTATGTAAACCATTATATTGTTGATCTTAAAAGAACGTGCGCACACTACAGCAGCCTGACACAGAACAAGAACTATATAGGGAAAATATGGATTGCTGGATTTAGCATGAATGCTTGTTTTCTGAATTTAGATTAAGGCTAGTCCACTGTCAGTGGAGATTCTCTATTGATAGTGCTTTTTAGTGCAAGACTAGGCTTTAATCAGTGCCCAGAAAACTGATGATCTAACTGACATATACAGTGCCTATATCAGGGGTCACTAGTCTGAGCCACAAAGGCCTAGTTCATTCCAGCCAAGAAGGAGCCCCCCTCAAATACAGTACTGTGCAAACATCAGAGACTACCTTCATTTATTTAATTTCCAGTCAAAAAGAAAACATTTTTCACTGAAAATTACACAGAAGTCCATTGTTCTGAGAAGCCCTGCAGCTTCCTTGTTTCTTGTTTATTTCCTTTTCTTAGTGAGAGCTTCTTGACAGCTACAAATCCTTTCAGATCCACAGTGTTGTCTCCTCACAGTGGAAGGATGGACAAACACCTGTGGATTCTTCAGGTCAGAAGCAAGAGTGGAGCTCCTGTTTATCAAAGATGAAAGCTTAAATTACTGTTTATCTGATGGTAACAGTTTTGGTGGTCCACCAGCTCTTGCACGGTTGTTAGTATAATTTTTTTAAACTTACATTTTTCCACTTTGACCAAAATAAATGGATTATATGTAATCTCCTCAGAAATATCTCCTGAAAATGAATAACTTGTACTAGCTGTTGTGGCTGGAAATTAAATAAATCAGGGGTGGTCTTTGACTTTTGCCCAGTAATCAAATTTGGGAAGACCGAGATCAACTGGTCAGACAAGTGGAATAAGGTGTGCTTCTGCTTGATTGAAATGAAAACGTGCAGCCACACCAGCCCTTTGCAAATAAGACTGGTGACCCCTGGCCTATATAACCTATGTATCCTCCTGCTAGTAACCTTTCTGAATACACTGCTTTTGACTGCTTGTTTTGCAGTCATACATGAAGACCTTTGTTGGGAAATAACTTGGGGTCATTGTCTGCATGCTGTCTTCATAATTGTGTTGTACTTCCTCAGCTCAACAGCAGACGGCAGACCGGACATTAAGAAAAATTAAAAGACTGACATATAATCGCTATGAGTGGCTTAAGACGCCACATACAGTGAAGATTTTTGAATTACACTCACTGGCCACTTTATTAGAGACACCTACCTTCTCTACCTCCAGTACCACCTTGCTGGTGTACAGTTAGAGACTGTAGCTCATCTGTTGATGCACAGTTTGTGTTATTGGTCCTCTAACCTTTCATCGCTGGTCAGTTTCTGCCCACAGAGCTGCTCTTGGCTAGATATATTTGGGTGGTAGACCACTCGACACTGCTGTGCATCACTCCTGTTGCTAAGAATGCTCTACTACCCAAATATTTGGTCAACAGTGGTCCTGTGGTTAGAAACTGGTCAATGATGAGTGGGGTAGAGGGTGGCTGACAAAATGCATGAAGTACAGTCTGTAATTGCACATCTGTATAATGAAGGTAGGTGGACCAGAGGGTGGAAGTACAAGATTCTGTTTTCTAATAAAGTGGATAGTGAATGTACATCACTTTTATTTAAAATGTCTTTCTTTTTTTTCTTGCTTTTTTTTTATATTTCGCATATGCCACTTCATAAACTGTGAATGGGAGAGCTGGGAGAGAGGGACTCAGGACTGGTCTTTTAAAAACATCACTAAGAGGCATGCCATTATGGCAGTATACATTGCAGCAAAATCCCAATACAAATCTTTTTGCATCTTACATTTTTGTTGTGTACTTATTTTGTATTGCTGGTGGTGAAAAAAAAACGTTGTTTTAATGACTATTTTAGCACTGGGCTGGAAGATAAATACCCAGCACTCTCAGAAGCATTCTGTGGGTTGACATGGTGGTTTTCAGCATAATTGCAAGGTTGCTTAGTGCTCTTACCCTGAATTCAAGAAGACAGAAACCAAATGCCTCTGAAAGTTGCCTCCCGAATCTCGTCTCCATAGAGATCCCTCCTACGAACACACCCCCCATAGACTGGGGTCGAGACCGGGGCCCTAATTTGAATTGCGATTTGACGGCCCCTGCAAGTTCTGTGACATGCTGAAACGGAACGAAAACGGAAGGACTTTTCACATTCTAAATGCCACAAAAGCACAGATCAGACAGAAAAGGGTGTTGCAGACTCATCACCTTATAATCAAAGACAATGCCAGACCCTGACAGCAAAAGGCCATTAGAAGTCTAATTATAAGTCTAATTAAATGATGCGCCTTTTAGACTGGAATTAGCCTGGAAGGCCATACCGAATTGTATCTAGCATGGCATTGCAAGTTAAAATAATGCCACAGAGGTCTTCAAGCTCATACTTTCATATATATTTTTATATATTCAATTACTATACTGTTATTTACTTTCCTGTACTCAAGCCAGCTCTAGTTAAAGAGCATAGTGTTGCCACCATCATAACCTTTCTGTAATTTTCATTGTTTTTACACCATGTAAAAACATCAGCTGCCCTTTTATGATGAAATGATCAATAGAATGGTCCAAAATTACTTGAAATAGAAGCCACACACAACGGTCAGTTCACACCAGACACATTTCTGAAGCGTTTTTTTTTGTTGTCTGTCTGACAGAGTAGATGAATACCATTCTCATCTGTATTTCAATCCACACCGGCTCCACCAGACCCTCATCTTACGCCAGTCAAAACGCGAGCCCTTCTGACCTGCCATGTTTATTTTTTCACTTTTGAAGTATAAACTGGGCTTGTCTTAATTATTACATAAATCGCCTTATCGGAATTATTGAAGTTATTTTCCATAGCTGTTAGCTTTTACAATCATGTTTACATGGCAACAAACAGAATGTGAATTGGGTGTATTTTCATCCGTTGAGTTGAGGCAATATGTAAATAAAAGAAAGCAGAAAACACATTTAACAACCAAAGCTCAAATGCTGGTGCTGTAACACCTGTAGAGGGCAGCGGTGAGTAATGTTTAGTTGATGTCTACAAAAAACTTCATAGAAAGCCAGTCAAATATTTTTCTACCATTCCAAACTATATACTAAAATAATAATTTATTAAAATGTGATGTTGGCCTAGTAGTTGCAGTTGCTGAGCAGCTCCTGTGCTGTACTAACAGTATGCAGAGGCTACTGTTATGGTAAAATTTTTAATCTGAAACAAACAGTGGTCAAAACGTAATTTTATCTTTAAAAAAGCTACTATTCCCGCCTTAAGTGTTTACGTGACTGAGCTGAGCTGGAGGCAGCGTGGTCTGGATGCATGGTAGCTCATGCTTCACATACGCTGCACTTAAGTAACGCTGATAAGTTGCGTCTGGTGTGAATTCTGTGTAACTTTCATTAAAGTTACGAATTTTTTTGTTATGACAGCAACAAATATTCCCGCAGTGTGAACTCATCATACGCAACACATTAAGAACTGTATTAATATCATTCCCATTTATTCTGAGGTACTTACAATATAAAGAGAAAACAAATGCAGAGTGTTTTCGTGAGCAGAAAGCTGTAACTCATGTACTATATAAATATTGTTAATTATGTAACATACACTTTAAAGTATATAATGTAGTACAGAAACACAATTCTATTGACCTCAGGGAATATTAGGAAATAAATAGATTTCCCTACAATCCACTCTGATGTAGCTATACCTGTTACTGTAAAAAAAAACAAACAAGCAAACAAAAAAAACAAAACAAAAAAAATAATCAGTAACTAAGTCCTCAGCATGTGTCATGAATGAGTGTATTTGGTACTTCGTAGTAGTTCTGAACCCACGGTCTCGTGTATTTCCCAAAAATCCTGTTCAGGGTGAACAGTTGTAGAGTTTAGGATGAAAAGGTATCAAAAAGTCTGTGCTTCCTCTCAGGAATGGTAGAAATACAGCTCCATCAGACTTGTCAGGGCTGCAAAGAGGAGACTATGGTAGTGCTTAATAAATCCATTCTGTCAAGTGGCGTCTCCAAGGAGTATCAGAGTCTGCGAGAGCCGCTGCTGACTGCTGCCTGGGAGGCAGTCTGAGTAGAGCTAGTGACGAAAGAGCAGGTGGTGTTGGAGCAGGCAGGGCACTTCTCTTTTATCCTGTCTTTTCTCTTTCTCTGCTTCATCTTAAGAGGCTCCCTCTTTGCTCTGCTCTGGCTCCTGGCTCCCTGATGCCTCCGCCTCAGGGGCCGGAGCCCCGGCAGCATCCGCCTCTGAAACAGAACAATGTTTAGTCTTCAGCTCCACATTTTAGGAAAAGTATATTAACAGTTTAAGTCCCAGGGAACACAGTGTAAATTATTACAAATGTTTACATGATATAAAAATTGAGTGTTGCTTTAAAAAACTGTGCTCCTGATATTCTGATGAGCATAGACAGCCCTCTGTCCACGGCTTTCAGCCTGCTAAGTGACTGAGGCAGAACTAAAGAGTGAAATGGGCTCTACATATACAGGTGTTGATGTAGACAACCATGCCTGCCATTCATTGTTCACTAAAAAGATTATCCAGCTTTTATATACCAACGTTTTAAAGAAGGTGTGGTTCTTAATCACTCTGCATGTGCATCCAGAGAACACTGGGGTGGCTAGTTGACCAAAGAAACGGATGAATGCTCATCCTTGCTTGTTAGTTTAGCTTTTGTTCGTTGTTAGCTTTCTTGCTGTAAGTTTCTCCGATTTGAAGACAGATAAGGAGGCCGTTAGGGGTTTTGTTAAAGTGGTGTGGGTGGGAAAACCCACATCAGCCTTGTGACTGGTGAGGACTGGTGAGGGTTAAGACAGTACAGTTTACATCAAGAGAAGAAAATGTTGGCAAATTATCAGATATATCAAAATATATCAATATATAATATATTAATCACTGGAAAGTTATTGACAGGACAGTTTCTATTTCTATATTGGGTGCCCACGAAAGCGTAGAAAGAAAACAGATTTATTTTATTTATTTATTTAGTTTTTTGAGTTCACTTTTTCAAAACACTTCTCAACACCACTGTGTTTGGACCAAACCATTAACTTTTTTTCCTTCCTTGAATACACTGTATTCAGTGAACACAACTTCTAAAATTCTTTCATTCAATTCTCGCTTCAGCAAAACTGCATATTTCCAGAGCTCAAATTACAAATGCTTACACACACAATCACAAAACTGTTACACTCCAAAACCAAACATGAATATAAAGTGCATATCAATGTCAAGTCACGAGTACTACATTAGACAACAATCAAATCAAATCATCTATAAAAAGGTCAACTTGAAGAGTTCTTTTGTTCACAATGGTCAGTCCATTAAGGTCTTATGAGAGTGCAATGATGCTCTGATCATGCTGTAGAGCATTTGGGGCCTAAAATGAACTCCTGTGCTCAGCTGCATATTTCTGAAGAGTGTGAAGCATTTTGAAAAATTATGGTACTGAAAAACGCTATACAGCAATCATAAAAACTGCAACAGCTCCTAATTAGTTCTTTATTCCTGTAACAAGTCACTGACTCAACAAGCAGACACAAGTGAAGGATGTCTGGCACCACATTGCACTACATGCGACCAAATTAAATAAACAAACATTTAAATAGAAATATGCACATGAAATTCATGCAATATATTGCATTTATTTAATAAAAAAAAAGCAACCTCCCATGGCTCATTATGGATATGGTTTTTCTTCAGCTTGACTTAAGTAATTATTCTAAAAGAATCTCCTGAACTGACTGGTGCAATTCTAAAACATCTAAACCAGAAACACCCATTTGACAGTTATGTTACATTTAAAAGCCAAGTAATACTTTGGCTTGTAGGGTGCCAATTACTGTCTAAGCTGTTATCAAATATCTGGCCACGCAGCAATATCCACCAGTGTGAAGCCTTCAGCTCACATCAGCATTTCACACCTCATATCTACTAGTTCCTGGCAAGATTAATATGGGTGTTGCATGTTCCTCTTTTTGAAACTTATTGGCCATGGGGGCTTTCCAGAGCAATAAACTGTGCCAAAGTTTATTTGTTGTTTCATGAAAACTTCAACAATAAGTTTAACAAAAGAGTCCAGCAGGGCTGTTTTGGCTTTTTTTGCTAAGCAATTCATCATTCTCACGACTGGAAATGTTCCCACACGGGTAGGAAACAGTTAAGGAAGTGGTAATTGTTCCGAGCACTGATGACAGAGCTATGTGTGCTTGTGGTGACAGCATCTATTCAACCTCTCCTTCAACTCCCTTTGTGTTTAAGACACACTGACAAACACATTTGACCTTAAGAGAGCTGTGTTCTATGAGGGAAATGGACTCTTAAGAGCAGGCCTGTAATTATTAGTAGTGAACAAGCCTGGCTCTCTGTTCAAGACTGTTAATGTGGCATTAAGAATGGGCAGTATGGCAATATGTTTTGCCATCATGATAAATTACATCACAACATGCTTTTCTGAATATATTCTGGATATTATCAGTACTTTTACTGATTCTCCTACACCGAACAACTGTATTACACAAAAAAGACAGATTTAGATAAATTATAGAGAGCCTGTAATCAGTACAACACAGTGTATATTAACTGCATAGCAACAAGTAGCTGACTGCATGTCAGCCATTATGCTGTTATCGTATTTTATTTATTTAATATCCATTATCTGATTTTTCCTACTGTTCCTATTTTACAATTGAACATTGAAATAAAAACATCATTGTAGTCACTGTTTGTTTTTCATTGTCTTTTAAATGTGATGCTGGTTGCCTTTTCTCTGATCTCTGATGGACATTATGGCAAAAACCTAGCATCACTATACTTCAAGACATTTTCATAAGTATCCTGTTATTTAGTTTTCAATAGGTTTGGTAAGTTGGAACAGACAAAAAAACCTGCAATGTAACACAAAGAAAATTATCAAAAACTAAGAATGCAGTGATTTTTAATCTACATTTAACATACTGCACTGCACTAAATCCAATTAAACAGGGCTAGTAATGAAACACTGTTGGTCAGTGTTCTTTATGTAATGTCAATATCCAGGAAACAGTGCTCAGTAATAAATACCATCATAAGGCCCACTCTCACTTCCAAATTGTTAGCAAACCTCAGAAAGAGTCAATATCATGAAAAATAGTGTAAAAAAGAGCTCAGATTTGACAGATTTTAATGACATACAAAGTGCTCTGTGTCTCATTCATGATCCTCTCGTACTGCACTGAAATAAACAGATTTGAGCGCAAATGATGAATCAGCCTTAATCAAGCGGCAGCCTACCAGCACCTCATTTGCATATCATTTACATGAAACACACCCTAATTCATGCTAACTGGTGGGGGGAGCCAATAAAAACAACAGCATGCAGCAGCTCTTGAGCCAATGGCTGTTCTCATAGGCAGAGTTTGAGGTTGAGTAGTAAGTGCACAATTGGAAAGAATAAAACGTTAAGTATACAAAATGTCTTTTTTAATGACAGCAGAACGTTGTCATTGTGCAGTGTGATTATTTTCCTAAAATAACTACGTAATTTATAACATCATTTAAATAGCATATTTAAATGATGTATCATTGCAGTGTAGGAGATGCTTCTGCACTAGCTGCATTTTGCACAGTGTAATATGTCTTTAAATGGAACATGGAATAGTTGCAGCATTTGTATATACCAATGCGCATGTAAAATCCATTTTTGTTCTGGACTGCCATGAGCTGTACATGCATGAAGCCCTTCAAACTTTACACAATTTAAATAATTCTGCATGAGGGATGGGCAAAAATTTCTCCCTGTAGATGCCAGAAACTGGCAGACAGTTTTAGGAAATGGACACAAAGTTGTATCTGTCAAAAGGGGCAATACCAGTTACTGAAGCCAGGAGTTACTCAGGTAGTTATTTCTTTAATAGTTTTTCCCCCCATTTTCTCCCCAATTTAGTTGTATCCAGTTCCACGCACTAGACTTCCCCAGTCACACGATACCACCAGCATGAGAAGGGCAAAGGCAAATACAAGCTTCCTCCGAGTCATGTGAAGCCAGCCACCACAACTTTTCGAACTGCCGCTAATGCAATGTCACTGGTTGGCTGAACATGCTTGGAGGAGAACGCTAACTGCCAGTTCTGTTACGTCAGGTAACAGATGCCTCAATGGCTAGCATTGTGGTGAGTGATGGTGGGGAAGAGGGAAGCCTATCCTACCCATCCAAAGAGAGCAAGGCCAATTGTGCTCTCTTGGACTCCCAACCATGGATGCTGCAGCATCAATAGGGTTCGAGCCTGCGACCTCCTGATAATAGGGCCAATGCTTAGACAAGAGCCCAGGTAATTCATTTTCAAATACATCATTGTGATGAAAAAGTCAAATACTGTTTGGCTGATGATCAAATACTGATATACCCACACATGTCAAAAAAGGGAAAGTTAACTTGGTCAGTTAACTGCAAATCAAGCTTTTTTTTTTAAATATATAAAATATACATTTCTGCTGTGTTCGTACCGACTCCCCAGAAATGGGCTACTCTTAAACAGCGTTTGAGTCAGACTCACGCCTATCATTTTGGGCATTTTGTCTCTTACCGTGTGACAGGAAAGGGCCATGTGATTGACATGCAAAATCACTAACAACAAACTGACATGACATGTACGGGCTACAACAAGATCTCAATAGTTACGGCCAGCTTAGCTTTCAATAGATAGACATTTTGCAGTGTACACTTCCATTCACATTTGTTTGCTCAAGCATTGTCTGTAAATACCAAGAAAATCAAGTCATTTGATTGGTAATTGAATTATTCTAAACTCTAATCATATTACTTTTCTGGATTAGCTGGGTTCACGGCGAAAATCATACATAACTCCAATGAATCCAGCTAATGACACTTAATGTAATTGTGTAATGTTCAGAAAGCTACTCAAACTCGGCCACACATTTTAAGATGCGTCATGCACTGTTAATTGGTATTGTTGTGTGGGTAAACTGATAGCTAAAGTCATATCTCAAGAACAGTCATTAAAACTATTGTATGGACCTCCATTTACTGAAAGCCCCATACAATAGTGAGAGAAACTATTGTCAAAGAGGAAATGTCAGACTGACCCCGTCCCCCTTTACTACATCTCAGAGGACACTTCACACACAAACACAGAGTGTCAGAAGCAGATCTACCTCCTGCCTTCAGGTCGATTTGAGCCATATCTTTGGTCAGTTCACTGGTGCCCCCCGCTGTTCCTTCACCCTTAATGTCTGGCACTGCATTCCTGCGGCCCGTGCGATCACAGTTAATGAAATCTGAGTATAACGACTCAACATCCATCATCTGCCCATGACCTGTCTTCTCATTCCACCTGCAGGAGTCAGAACGAAAGAGAGAGAGCAAGAAGAGTTAGGGTTACATGAATGAACAAAAAGTCATAGTACATTTATATTTTCTATATACTCAGACTGTGATATGCCTTGCAATATACTAAACCATACTTTTACACAGACATCAGTGTGACATGATTAAAGGCCCAGCACAGTATTTTCACTTTTTACTCAAATCTTAACCTAGTAATGTTTCTACACTACCTTTTATCACCTTTTAGGTACAAGACTTATTAGGTGTTACTAGACGCCATCCCATATCGCTCCACTTGACAGTGTACCTGGTATACAGCACAAGATGGTGGGCAATTGCAAATGTTCAGTTTTGGGCTGCAACAAGGAGTACAGTCACTCTCTACACTCAATTTCAAACACCAAAACATGAGAGCAAAATACAGTGGCTCAAATTTCTTTTTGAGGCTGAAATGACAAGCACTACAGGAGTCTGTAGTGAAACTTTTGCTTGTGCTTTGCCTGTGATAATTATAAAAAATTGGATATTCCAGTACATTCATGGATTTGTCCTATAATCATGAATGAGTTGCACCTTTGTTTACATAGCAGTATTTCACGCTGAAACCTTTGTAAACCGCTTTGTAAGTAGCCACCACTACAATAATGGTAATTCCCATTAGCAGCATTGAAAATTCTGTTAGTAGTGCACTTTCCTACACATGGACATAGTATAACAGCTTGAAAGCTACTCTAGCTTAAAACCTGCCATTTGAAGCTTGTAAGACATGCATGTAACATGTTCTTTACTTTGTATATTGCAGTTTTTTCAGCAAATCCCTTAGTAAACATAGCTGTTGTTCACAGCCTATAGTGGCTGTTAAACATCTTATGCAGGGTACGTTTAGCAAAGGGTTTTATCAGCATTGTGAAAAATGACACATCACCAGCTAATGTTCTAAATCAGTATTCTCTTCAGAGTGATGATGCTATTTCCATCCTACACCATACCTGAAGCCAAGTACTGGGCTGCTACGTTTGAGACAGAGGCTGTCAATGAAGAAATTCTCATTAATATGCAACACTTTGGGGTCACACCTATATACAGTGGAATGAAAAAAAATTCATCAGAGAAAAGGAGATTTTAAGGAGATTTTGGGAAATGTCAGGTGACTGAAATCTAGTCACAATCTTAATTTTTGACATAACTTAAAAAACAACTGTGCTAGGGCTATTTTGACCAAAAGTATATATTATTAGTAGTAGTAATTATATGTTATTTGGATAATGAGGAAGTCTTGATTTGTCTATGTGAGCATCCTGCCCAATTAATCTGTTTTGGACTGGATGTTCACAGCATATAATACAATATTTCGTGATTTGCTAGAGGCCCACTGCATATTGCAGCTTTCTATATTATCTGTAAAGGCCAATGTTTTAATTAAAATGAACAAATAATATATTGTACAGCCCTAGAAAGTATAGTGATTGATTTCTGCATTATTACGTAAAAATATGCTACATTAAAAGGTCCCAACGAATACAAAGCTCAATGAAGCGGCAAGCTGAGACATTTGCATTATGCTAATTGAATATTTGCCTGTGAGTCTTGCAGCTCTTTAATATCTGTGACAGAACATGTTAGCTGATAAATTAGAGTAATTATTGCTCCGGAGGTTCTATTTCTATACTTAAGTTAATAGAGTCAGCTCCTGAACTCATTTCATGGCCTAATTATAACAGGGAGGCGGAAGCATTCATCTGAGACCATCTACTGTCACGAAACATTCACCAAACATTCTCTTCTCCATTTAACTGGGCTTGTGCTGAGGCCTTCTCACAAGTATGTATGCCAGCTTGCAATTTCAGCTTTCCTGGCAGGGAAACGAGATAAAAAACTTAAGCGATCGACAGAAACACACTTTCAGAGTGCTTTACAGCACCCTTCATATTGGCACAGTGCATCGAACTGCTTTCAAGAAGACGAAGGGAGGGGGAGAGGATGGGGGTGGAGAGGGTCAGAGCGCATTCCCGGTGAAGAATGCACAGCGCACACACATTAGCTATTCAACCCCCTTTGTGCCTCCTCTTCTCAGTCCATATTTAAGTGGGTCATGGATCCTGCCAGCCAGAATAGCGCTGTGGAGCGGGCTGCGCTAAGAAGCAGCAGGAAAATAAGGGGATAAAAGAAAACAGAGGGGTGGTTCCAGAGAAATCAAGAATGGAGAGGAACACACAAGACACACACAAGCTACTGAATCTAAAGCTGAAGATATACATCACATTCATAGCAATTACCCCTCCACTCTCTACCCCATTAGGACTAAAGTAATTGCAGCTAATAAAGTAACATGAGACCCAATCCCGCGGACTCTGATTTAATAAACTAACAAAGAATTTACATGCCACTGCTTTACACCACACCATCTGCAAAATGCAGATAATCATGTGTTAATTTGTACTATAATTTGGCCAGTTGTCATAATGTAAGCCCAAAAACAATATCCGCTTACAAAGTATGTCTGATGCAAGGAAATCAAGCACTGCTACTGAGAATGTTCTCAGCTTAGGCATTTATGCCGAATAAGCTAACCAGTTCATCACAGTTAAAGACGACAATGAAAATATAATTCAAAAATATAATTATTATGGGTGTGAATAATTTGTTTAATAGCAATTCAATTTGTATTATAATCCAATGGCTGGCGTGCTGATTCAAAAGGTAATTTTGTTTTGTTTGGCTTGATTCTATCCAATTTGATTAAGTAAACCACTATCTGATTCAGTAATTTCCTGGGACTGCTGGCGCTGTGCGTGTGAGAGAGAAACATCTGGTCTCTGGAGTAGAGTGGTACCTAACTACTAGTTCAGCCAAGAGTTTGTTCTGGCTTAGCCACAGTCAAGAGGTGTAAGCTTTTTAAAACAGTCTGCATGTGGCCTGGTGGGTGTCACATGAAGATGTAGGCTGGATACTAAACAATTTTTTCTTGTGGCATGTACAGCTAGTGTGGCCTTTTTGTCAGTAAAAACATACATAATTTGATTATTTAGCCTCAAACAATTTAAAATCAGTTTCTGGCCTCATTTGAAATTACTAGAGCGATGCAAGAAAAATCTGGTGTACTAATGCTACCTAAGGGTTGATTCAACTGAGAACTGGGAATAATTAGAATCAGTGCAGGGGCTCAAGCATTATAAATAAATAAATAAATAAATAAAGCACTGAATGTATTGCGATTACCATCATGTCAGTAATAATCGTACAGGCCTAACTTCTGCATTAGCGAGAGCTTAGAGATATAGTAGTAGTGCTAAGTGATATATTGTCTATAGTGATATGCTAGTATTAGCATCATACAACAATATTTTCTAGCTTTAGCACTACTGATATATATATATATATATATCAAAAACCAAAGCAAACAGTTTACAATACATGAAATCTAAATCACTCGGAAGTTTCCTTTATCTTTCATTTCCTTTATACTTTACCTTTGTTATATCTTATCTTTTTATCTCTTATCTTTATTGTCTGATTACTATTTACAGCACTATGTTGGGCACTGATTTTAAGAAAACAGAGCAAAACAGTCCATCAGATTGGTCACAGATTGAGGGAGCCAGCTAGGAAGCTTTATGTTCTGAAGATATTTAAGTAGTGAGATGACCACCAACTAGCCTTAGTCACTGTAAACAAAAACACAATTTTAAAAACATCATATGGTTACTGTCAGGTCTGGCATCCAAGTGAGGGGTCCTAAGCCTGCCCCAGACACTCCATAGCTACGCCCCTTCATCCCAATATTACAAGTTATTTTCACAATATATATAATATTTTGTTTTTCTGAGGTTCCAGAAATCAGAACAGACAAAATGCCCTAAGTATTACAGGACAAATTTTTGTTGTATGGTATTCTTTACGTACAGACCAAGACAGAAAAGCATATTGTGATGTAATGTGACATAATAATAATAATAATAATAATAATAATAATAATAATAAAGAACAATAACAATAAATATCAACATATTGCTCACCTCTATACTGTTATTTTGTTTTAAAAAAATACTGTGATTCTGGATTTTGAAAATACTGCCCAGCATTAGTAGCCATCACATTTAACACAAATATCCCCCAACCCACCTGTCCACATGATCCCATAACAGCTTCTGGAGTCTCATAACGCTACCCACTGACTGCTCTGCTGAACACCTGTTTTATCAGATTCTACCTTTACAAATGCTAAGTGGAGTATCAGCATGCTGGTTATCGGATATCCCTGATCTCGGCCTCACCGAACAGCACAAGCAAGAAACTCAACACGCAGGACACTTCCACTTTTATTTCTACAGAAGACCTCCTGAACCGTATTCAGTGGATTCCAACAGCCTCACTCACATTTCTGAAACATCACTGGGACAACACTGAAGTAGTGGAGGCGTTTCATGTCAATTTTCAAGTAGATTTGCAAAAACACCCCAGTTCAGAGCAGGTCAGTCAGAAAGCACAGTACTAGCCGGTGGGGAATGTTGTGGCCTGCAGAAAGTCAGGCTCCTTGGAGGAGAGATGAACCTCAGGAAATGTCAAGCGCAGTGCAGGACTCCCTGACCCATTTTAAGAGCAAGCTCCCCAAAAGGTGCTCTGTTTTATGGCTACATATAGGAATGTGTGGCTATATGTCTGTATTCTCAGCAGGCCTAAACATTCTCTCATGTACAATTTGACTGTAAAAATGCCTGATGCAAATACCACAATGTGTGTACAATGATTTGCATCAAGCTTTGTCTGAACCAAATCTTCCTTTGCAAATGCAATTCATTAACATTTAAAAGAAGGGGGAACTTGGAAATACAGCAAAAGAAAAAGGTTATTATGACGAAAGAAGATGTGCAGTCATCGAAAAGAACAAAAATAGCTCTGTCCCTTTAAGAGTTCTCTTTCCAGACAAATTCTCTGTTGGCCTGTTGTTTTTAACAAAATTAAGGGAGGCATATTACACAGCAACACTCTTTAGAGGAAAGCCATATA